GGTAATTATCAAAGTATCGATTTCCTATCTGAATAATATTAAGTCATTATATAAGTTAATTAAAGTATTATGATCTATTCTTCTCAGATATCGCTACATCTATACGTGACTCGTATAAAAGAGTGATTTCTACACGTTACTTGTGCGAGATCACATTCGACCTTCTGAATGCCGCGACCGATCTTCGTTTTAGGATTGCTTCGCAGTGCTGATGATTTCAGGACGTCCCACTTCTCATTATGATACTCAGATTCGACTACTAGAATGGCAAGTGGGTCACACGTAAAAGTAACTGTTACGGCAGCGACATTTCGTGTCAGTCGCGACTCTGATCAAGGCGCGATGCAATACTACCTTAGGCCGGAAAACTGTATTTTTACTTATATTTACGTATTACATGTTACACATGCGCATGGACATATGTATATATAACGAAGAATCAAGGAAGAATAACGCGAGAGGAAACTTCTACCTCGTAATTCGTCCCTGAAGACAAACGTCACTTGTCCTTAATTTTTTTTTTGACACCAGTTAAAGGATTGCGAAACAGTTCCTCGATCATCGAGTCGAACACTGAAACACTGTGTGTGAACCGCATTTTGCTCGCTATACACATTTAGACCATTATTTCAATACTCAAACGTGTCTACCTTTCTAGAGATGCTGATTTTCAGCTTTAATCCGATTCAATTCCATTCGCCCGAACAATATTTAGTATTGCAGGAAAGAAACAACCGCATTCTACATTGTAAAAGTTTTTTTTCGCCACGTATAACGTAATGAGAGTTGACTCACGCCATTGCCTTGCGTACTTGTGCAATCGGTGAAAACAAAGTTTACAAAATCACATGATTGGATCGAATGTCTGATCAATCGACATCGTCGAACGACGGAAATTTCTCGAAACTCAAATAACAATTTAAAATAACTTCATTATCGCATGATTACCTTTTGCTTAAAAGACTGAAATCTTATGGTACACTAAACATCGAATAACATGTAAGATTTATACATGTATGTCTTAGATTTTATGCGGAATAATTGAATTTGAATATCTGATTAAATGCCAGAGTGCTTCGAAGAAAACCGGAGTATTCGCGGTAATGCTTTTTTCGTACATCACGGAGTTATCGGGAGAAGAACATTTTCCTGGTAGGAAATTTTCCAGGTCTCTTTGTCGGAAACATATCCGCGTGACTAACGAATTCGCGGAATGTGCTCTTCCGTACTCTCCGAAGATCCAGCGTCGAGGTAATGCTGGTAATAATGCGCTATTCCCGAGTAAAACCTACATCTATATGTATATGCATATATATGTATGTATATATAGTGGGTGCTCTAAGCAACCGAGTGAAAGGCAACAATGCGAAGGCGAGCGTTCGCACGTACACACGTACACATAAATACACGATCGAGCACGTGCAACAACTATCGACACACACGAATCTATGGAGGAAAAAAAAAAAAAAAAAAAAAAGACCAATATCGCGAAACCGTGTCTCATATAAATACAGAGACTCTTCGCGTTCATGATAAAATTACATGAGAAGGCAAGTGATGAGATCCATACGAACGAAAGAGAGAAAGAGAGGATAGGAGAAGAAGGAGGATACGACGACGTGGCATGATATATACGTGTCAAAGTCGTATGTTTCTATGTATCGGGGAGGCTCCATCGATGATGATTGTCGCGCACGTATCGTGCTCGATCGTGCCGTGCATTGCTGCTACACATGAAATCGCATTGTGTATGCACATACACACGGACAATACAGATGCACATTGCGCTGCGCCTGGCCTGCCTGCTGCCACGATTCAGACGGGTATGTTGTATAGAGAAGGCCTGAGCGGAGATCGGTTCTCCCTGAGTGCGTCAGTCGCGACAAGGACGTCCGCTAAACGGCGAATTATACTGGAATAATCGCTCCGCGTTCTTGGTACTCGTGGCCCCGGAACGGAAAATAAAGAAAGATAGAAAAGATTATCCAAGTGTCGCGATCGATAATTTGGGGGATAATTTTGATGATATCGAATGGATTTTCCTTTATTCCTTTATTCAGTAAAATATATACGTAAATATAAGTACACTGAAAAAATATACTAAATCTTAACACATTTTTTTTCTTTCAATAGTAATAAGTATTAAAGAACAACCCAAGTTTATTATTAAAAAAAAACTTTCTTTTCTAAGAAAAAAAATGGATTCAATCCAATCGTTGAGAATTAAGTTGTAAGAAAAAATCGAATATAAGTAAATATAAGTACTAATTCATATGTGACTATATATAAAACTGAGATATTTATGTGCTATTGGAAAATTACAGAGATGCATTCTCTGGGGATTCGCGAAATGACGCTCGTGACAAGTCCTTAAGAGATAAATTTTCAGACAACGATGTCGAATGCAGGTGGCCCTAAGGTATTATCTAGTCTCAGCTATTTGTGCAAAGATCAACGGTGACGCATTGATCTTCAAGATTTTTAATAGAATGATTGTCAAAGGTCAGCATAAAACATGTGTTAACATCTCAATGGTATGAATGAAGGAATGAAGAGAAGAATGAATAATACAAGTCAAAGATTTCCAAGAAATTTTAAAATTGCAGGATGCATTCATTCTATGCCTCTTTGTGTGTGTATTTCCCCAGTAATTTTTCTAGATTCAGTAACGAGCCAGACTCATTTTCTATCGACGCAAATCTCAAGGATTAATTACGATATTCCAATTCGAGATTAATCACGTAAGTAATACGTCATAAGAAATCAATTCAAAGTTTCAGTTTAACAAATCTAAGACGAAGAAATGTATGAACGCTCTGCTTTAATTTCTTTTCTTTTCGATTGATAGAATCTATTTTTTTGGTCTTGGAATTGATGACAGACTCATCTTGTAGAATTTGACTTGGTACGATCCATTGTAATGCAGGCGAACAACGACCATACTCGAGAACAAGGGGAAGTCGATGAAGGACGAGGAGAGCAGGTCAATTACCTCCAGATCACTAAGAGAGATTTCTTATCAACAATCAGCCACTGCTGTCGTTAAAGAACCGCCAGTGAGCAGTATATGACAGTTACGTGGTGCAGCACTCTTTTTTAAGTCCAATCCGTTTTTTCGAACATAAACAATTCAACAGAGTTGATGGGTAAGTTTTTATCAAACGGATAAAAAAAGATGGTTTCAATTTCGATTAACTGCAGTCTTAATTTGTTAAATTTGAGGTAATATCTAACTGACATAAATTATACAAATTTATTATGATTTTAAATTGTAGAGATAAAATATTTACATGATAGATAATTTTAAAAAAACGTTACTATCAGCTCGGCAATTTATACTAATTACGTGCCTAAAAGTTTGTTCCCTCACATTATACTTAATCCAATTAAATTTTGAAAAATGTTACAATTAAGATACTATAATTAAATTTAAGATTTAATAGATACAAATTAAGCTAAAATGGCACAAAATAAGTTTGTTTATATCTTTCTATTATATACATTGCAAAAGTATCGATCAACAGAGTTTAGGAAGGTTTTAAGAGACTGATCGGTGGCGGCAGCGAGAGAAAATGGTGTATAACCTTGCTCGGACGACCTCGATCGCCTTCACCGAGGAAACCTCCGGTGTGTGGAGCCGTGACGACACACATATACATACATATACACATATACATATACATACACACAATGATCTTGCGACCACTCGGTCGACTGGGAGATCGAGCTCTTGACGTCGGTTGCACGGAATAGTACTACCGTCGCGAGATCTTTTTCGCGTGATACGTCCGATCATCGTCGTGATGGTCACGCGCAGATATTCAAATAGACGAATAAAAATTTGTAATTCGGATATGCAGCAAGCTACATCTACAAAATACGGAAAACGTAAAATTTCTTCAGTTTGCAGCTATAAAGCTAAAGTAACACGAAATAAAATATTGCTAAATAATTTAATGACTGTTCGTGTCAGTAAATTAAGAGAAGAAAAATGCCGACGTGAGTCGACGATCGAAGCACTCGCACACCTCTCACTCTCACTTTTTTTTTCGCCGAAAGAAAATTTCACCGTTCTTCTCTCCTTTATAACTCCCTCCATGCCTACATTCTATAGAATATATTTTAAGTAACCAGCGAAATCCGGTTCTTTTACCCACGATCTATTTTGACCGCAGAAATTTTTAGGACGAATGTACAGGTTGATTCATAAACGAGTGCATAAGATTAAGAAGTCATCTACAATGAAAATAATATTGTAGTAAGGCATAAGTTTATCCTTAACCATCTTTAAATTATTTTTTTAATAATTTTTTCATCAGAAATGTGCAAATGATAAACAATCAAATGAACTATAGAAAGTTAATTTTTTTAAAAATGGGAGTCCCAATCTCACACGAGTCACTGAACTCTTATCTCGTATCTGCGTCTTGTGATTATGAGTAAATCAAGAAAAAAATCAGTGCCGTTAATTTATCATATATATATACTGAAAAAAAA